AAAACTTTCCTTTTTCCTTGTACTTTTGCTTTGTTTTTCTAATCTTGGCAAATGGCTTAATCAATTTGATCATTTTTTACAGTAAATGTTTATTAAGTAAAAAAGGTGCAGCCGCGCTTCGCGTGGTTAAGGTACATGGCTCTGCAAGTGCATTAACTTAATTGATCGAAATTGTCGTCGCGTCGGTGACTAAACGAATCAACCTAATCCGCTAATGAAACAAGTCAGACACGCGATCGCAGTTAATAGTTCGATGAAGCCAAGGACAACAATCGTCGATGGCGGTGATTCTAATTAGTTGCTGCTCTTTTGCGTTAACACGCAATAACGAAAGTGTTTAATAACACAAATACGAAAGTGTTTAATAACGCATTTTGATCGAAATCGAAATCGATGTTCAAAATCACTCCATACTCTCTATTTGTGATTGCGCCGTGTATACGCTATATCTTCAGTGCATTGTTTCTATAATTCGAACTACGCGTAAATCATAATAATATTACGTGACAAATATTATACCGGTACTGCGAAGTAATAATCACTTAAATAAATTAATGTTAAAACACAGCATAGAGAAAACAAAATACATTACGTATATATAATATGAACATAATGCAGTTTATTACTTATGTTTTCCGTATCTCTTCTTAATTACTTTTATTTATTACTTTTTTTAATTATAATATCTTTTTATTTAAATAATTTTAAATTTTTAAAGTTTTTAAATAATATCTTTTTTCTTATTACCTTTTTTTAATATTAACAAATTTTTTAAAATAATTACAAGTCTATTGTAATATGTATAATATGTATAATACTCTTATGTTTCATCTTATTTATAATAATATTTCGCAAATCGGATATCGTAACTTTTCATTAGAATGCTCGTTAAATTGAGCGATATTTTTCTTTTTTTTCTATTTTTGATACGGGTTATCATAATACGTTGTGCGGTGCAACGTCATGGAAAATCGTGGTTTAAATTGTAAATAATTTTTCTCTAAAAGCGTATTCACTGTTTTTATATATTTATGTATATTTCAATTTCCTGCTCACTTTGTGCGAAACAAGAAATCATTAAAATATTTTTTTGTAAAAAAGTTTGGCATTAAACTGTCTTCATATATTCTATGTATTTTTTATTATAAATATAATTTCTATAATAAATAAATTGAAAAAAATATTCATACAGAAAAAAGTTTGCAAATTTCACAATTTTTGCCTTACCTAATGCCATTCGAGTTTATTGTTGTAATTATTAATGATATTATCTCAAGAAATTTAAGTGTGATCGGTTATTCCAAGATTGCGGATTGCGAAATATTGCTTCAAATCAGAAACATGGTTTGTTGTTATCTCGATTAAGTTGATTATAAACTACGAGTTACAAAGTTTCACGATTGCGCCAAATCAGTAATTATCGAACTTCGCACGTTACACTGCTAGTTTCACATTCCATTAATTTTCGTTACCGTGGTAAGTGAATTTAATGATAATGTCGATAAGGTGTAATATCTATAAAGTGCAATGTGCATGCAATAAACAACTTATAAATTATAAAATGAAAAAAAAATTGTTATGTCAACTTTGGTGATTTCAATAATAACTCCGATGCCAATGTACTATTTCATTTCTTAAAGTAATAATTGACATGCTTTTCTCATTTTTATTAGTTCTCCAATATATAATTTTCTTTCTTGTTATTTAAACTGATAAAACTTGTATAATTTTAAAATTTTGATATAATATACATCGTTGTATTCATTAGGAAGAAAACGCTTAACTTTTATCGCTTAACTTTTTCGATATCACGATATTCACATTATCGTGAAAAAGTTACATGTGTTTTTCTATTTTCTAATATAGATAATTTTTATAGATGATCTTTGTGATCTTATGAAGTTATACATGCTCCTTTATTTTCTAAATAATTTTTATAAATGATCTTTGTGCTTATGATAAGCTCACTATACAATCTAATTTAATACATTTGTTAAGTCTGCCTTATTTAATTTGCAGGAGACAGAAAGAGATGGCCACTTATAATGGGAATATATTATATATATAATAAAAAAAATATATATTTTATTTTTATATATTATATTCGTTCAAAAATTTAGATGGCGTTTTATAAGAAAAATGACAGAAACAAGTGACGAGCTATTTTTCGCTTTATTGCGTACCATTTTATTCGTAACGATTGTGATAGTGACGCAAATAAACGCACTCTCTTTGGGCGACGCACTCTCACTTATTATATGTCACGCACGTGCGTCGTTGTTATTTGCTTACACGCCTATATCTACATTAAACGAGAAAAATTCTTCGTCTACATGTCGAATGATGTTTTTCTAACAAATATCCTTATCTTTATTAGATGATAAAATATTTTTTCGAGAAAAGAAAGGGGAAAAGAAAGGGAAATAGAAAAATAAGGAGAAGAGAAAAAGAAGAATTCTAGAATTATAACAAAACAAAATATAAATCTTATTATTAATTCTAAAAATAGCTAAACACAACAAACAGTTAACAATGAACACCGTTAATCTGTTTTTCTATAGATTTCTATATATTTGTATTTGTATTAATTATGTTTCTCAACGCGTGAAACAGAGCCGAGAATTCGTACCTGTAGAATCCTGTATCTGTATTGGATTTTCGTGAAAAAACGGTAACATACAACTAATCTAATATATACAACGGTGCTCCCGAATTCCGTATGCACGTAGGAACGGAATGCGTAATTGCGCGAAATCGTGCACGACGAGCCAGCCACACAGCGATGGAACAATCGCTTCGTTACGGGCGATACCGATTGTGCAACTGGCACAACTAAGCCGCCGATGCCCGTCGTGCGGGACGCATTTACATCTCGTCGTCTCGCAAGGTGTCTGCATGTCTGTCGTTACAATGCTTCCTACGGATTACGTCAGTTCTCCGTTGTTAAAAGTCGGCAATAATTGTTGGCACGCCGTGACAGCCTCGTCGAAGTAATTATCGCCCCTGTTCGATAACGCGGTAGCCAACAGACAGTTACCGACCGGATTCGATTTTATATTTAATTGTATGCGTGAAGTGTGTCATTGGGTTGGCAGTCGGCGTCGCGGCGCATTATTATCCCGTGCATCAGAGAATTCCTCGTTTGGAATTACCACCATGATTATTTACATGACTGGCGTAATCTCCTCTTGACAACGCGCTAATCTCTTCCGCGTTACGCGTGCTTGCAAATCAATCTGTATTGGATTATACGTGTCGCTTTTGCAATAACACTAAATCAGCCGTGATTGATTCGGTTTCACATGGGATAAATTAATCCTGACTATTTTCTATGTCGATTTTGCTCTGCGGAGTTTAACATTGAAAAAATTAATGAACTGAGGAGTCTCTGTCGATATCGTGTTATAACGCGAGACGCTCACTTTGTCTGACACCACCTTCTTACATCGCGAACATAAACGTCTGTACAATTCAATCTGTAAGTTTTTCGCACAGAAAAAAATTAATCAAGACTGTATAGTTTCTCATAAATAAGAATATTATAATCTTCATAGAGAAGATTTTGAGTTGAACAAAAATAATATTTGTTTCAATACAAATTCAATTGAATCAAAATTAAAATTTTTAAGAAAATTACAATATTCTTGCCCATACACACACACACACACACACACACACACACACACACACACACACACACACACACACACACACACACACACACACACACACACACACACACACACACACACACACACACACACACACACACTA